GTTCTAGTGGCGTAATCTGCCCACTAGAGTGTGCACATAGGCGCGGCGCAGTATATTATAGCCGCCAGATACAGTATTAGATCCCGTAGCAGTTACGGTTGATCGCAGCTATAGTACATGACATGACAGTTCAGTTATATATGCTTTAGATCATGATATTGCAATTATTATTACTGTTTTATTTAGTATGAGTTTCTGCGGAGCACGGTGGCTTTTAGTGCTCACGCCCCACTTTATTATTCTTTTTCAGGTTGCAGAGTCGGTCCGGAGGAGTGAGCGGAGCCGGTGGTTGTAGTTTGTTTATATAGACTTTTGGACATGTATATATATGTTTTGCCACGTTTTGAACTTCCACTGACACTTTCAGGTTTACAAACTCGCATGTAAATATTCAAGTTTTGTCAGTCAGATTTAATACAATTCTACATGCCTGTTAACTAAGATAGTCCGTTTTTCTTAATACTTTAATACAGGAAAGATAACGGATTTTAAATAAGAAGTTTTTTTTTTTCAGTAACACCTCGAATATTGATTTCGCAAGATTAATACGTATTTTTAGAAAAGAAATTGCGAAAATTTGATTCTGATTTTATTAAGCTAGCGGGGTGTTTCAATATAAAAATACATTTTAGATATTATTTGCTTAATTTTTTTTATTAAAACGTTTTTTTTAAAATATGTTTTCTAAAAATACATTTAACTTTTTTTTTAATATTTCAATTATAGGGATTTTATTAATTTACAAAAATAATTATAAAACGTATTCTCGAAATACATTTTCTTGATTAATTTTTTTAAGAAAACGTATTCTGAGAATACGTCTGTTTTATTTTGGTTGACTTATTTTTTTTTGTCCAGTTATTTTTTTTTTAAATAAATAAACTACTCCATTTTTATTGGGTGAGTTATTTATTTAAAAAAACAAATTAAGTAGAAAAAAAAATGTGTTGACCAAAATAAAACACACGTATTCTCGGAATACGTTTTTATAAAAAAATTAATTAGAAAAATGTATTCCGAGAATACGATTTTATATTATTTTTGTAAATGAAAAAAAATACAAAATTCCGTTAATATTCGATTATTACAAGAAATAATAAATATAAAACATACTATGTAAATACGTTTTCAAAAACCCTAAAAAACGTTTTTAAAAATACAATTTGTATTTTCCAGTTTTTAATTTTTTAAAAAATAAAATATTATAAAATGTATTTTGGGAATCAGTTTTACATAAAGCGGATTTCCAGAATACGTTTTATGTTAAAAAAAATCCGGAAAACGTGTCATTGAAAAAAAGCATTTGAATAAAAAATAATATTTAATTAAAACGTATTCTGAGAATACGTTTTACAATTAAATTGTCGGTAAACGTATTCTTAGAATACGTTTTTGTAATTAAATATAAAAAAAATCTCTTCCTCTCCATTTCATTTACGTGAACCAGAGAAGAGCAGAGAGCAAAAGAAGCGGAAAGCAATCGGGGGAAAAAAAACTCGATCCAATTCTCACCCGGCGTGAATCGACAACAACGACACGAGCCTCTTTTCCGGTTAATTCATTCGCACGAGGTATATTGGCTTATCTTAACTTTTTATAATGTTTGGAGTTGTTTGGAGATTGAGAATTGTTATAATATGTTTGAATGCGGTGGTGTTTGAAGATTGTAAATTGTTAATTGATTATCGATTATGTATGTATGTTAAATTGGAGATTGAAATTTTGTGTGTAAATTATCAATTTTGTATTGTTTAGTTGTTGTTGGGGTTAGGGTTTTTGGAAATTAGGGTTAGAATTAGGGCTTTCAATTTATCCGAATTATAGATAAATTCTATGTTATTGTTCGATAAGAGTATTAGGGTTTTGGAGGATTATTTGAGTGATAATATATTTTTTTTTTTTGTTTTTTTGGTTGGAGTAATAAAATGTGTTTTAAATTTTAGATATTATGTGTTGTTGTAATTTGTATAAGAGATTTTTTTTTGTGCAACAGGTTATAAATTGCGTCTATCGGTCCCTACTTTGTTAATGTATACTGGAAAATTCCCAGAGTGAGTTATGGAATTTTTCGAATTATTTGGCTCGTCAGGATTGTTCATTTGTTATTAATGGAATAATATCATATGAACAATTGGTAGATATGATTTTCGAAAATGGTGGATTTCGTGATAGTTGGACAATTTAGGATATTTCTATTATGGCCAAACAACCAGATGGTTCGTTTATTCCCAGAAGACTGAATAATGATAGTGCTCTTTCATGGATTTACTACTTTCCTCATATGTCCTTTGTGTTTTTGTATATAGTGTTGGAAGCAAACACACAGGTTATACAGGTTGAGGATCCTACACCATCATATGGTTACGGGGGAGTGTTTGGTGGTGAGGGTACGTGGACTATGCATTCGGGTAATTTTGGTGAAAGGACGATTAATTTCGGCGAAGGGACAAGTAATATCAGCGAAGGGACGAGCTTTACCATGAGAGGACCGGACATTGAGGAAGAAATTTTTGGAGATGAAGATTTCAGTCCCGGTGAAGATGATTTCACTGATGAGACCTCGGAAACCGAATCAGACAGATCAATTAATGAGGAGAGCGAACAAGAATTCATTGAAGAACACCCCTTTCCAAATGAAGGCCTCCACGTATATCGCAAGATGGATGAATGGAACTCGTCGTTTGTAGACAGGGACGAGTATGTCTTGCCACTCTGGGATGGGCATGTCGAGACTATCCATTTGGGTACAGTTTTTTGTACCAAGAAAGAAGCCTAAACTGGTATTCTAGCCTGGAATGTTGAGAATCTAAGGGCGGTCCGGACAAAAGATTCCAACAAGAAGTCATTCAAAGTTGTGTGCAGATCAGCTGAAGTTGTACCATATATATGGAAGGCTCGGGTGAGTCTTAACAAATGGGATCATGACATGTGGGAGGTAACCGAATGGACCGATAGCCACACTTGCATGCAGGTGGTCGAGAGAAATGACCACAAGAATGTGACCTCCACCATGATCTCAAATCTTCTGTTGGCTAAGATTCAGAAGCAGGTGACCTACATTGTGGAAATAGTCGAGGCCGACATAAAAAGCGCCTAGAGCGTCGATGTCAGCTACAAGAAGGCGTGGCACGGGAGAAAAAAAGCCATCGATCGTCTGTAAGGCACGTGGGAATCGAACTTCGCACAACTTCCCCAGTAAGCAATAATTAATTATAAATGTATTTACGTGTTGTTTGTAACTATATTTATTTATTTATGGTTACCTTTTTATAATTTGCAGGTTTTTGCCGCTCTTCAAAGGACGAATCCCGGCACAGTCGTTGAGTGGGAATGGAAGGATGGGGAAATGGCTCGTCATTCTCGAGACAAAGAATTCAGATTTGTCTTTTGGGCGTTTGGGCCGGCCATTCGAACCTTCCATCTTTGCCCGGCGATCATTAGCATCGACGACACGCACCTGCGAGGTTCGTACAAGGGGAAGCTACTTGTTAATTGCAAATTAATTTTATATTTTCTAATTACAATAGTGTCTGATAAAAAATCATACGTCCAACTGAGCAGGTTCGTACAAGGGGAAGCTGTTTGTTGCCATAGCACAGACCGCAAATAAGCGTCTATTGCCAGTCGCGTATGCGATTGTTGACGAAGAAAGCACGGCTAGCTGGTCCTTTTTCCTAACACATCTGTGCCATCATGTCGTCTCCGACAGACCGATATGTCTTCTTTCCGACAGGGACAACGACATATTGAGTGTCGTTGATTTACTGGAGGCTTGGCACGAACCCCATGCATTTCATCAGATATGCCTTCGACACCTCCGGAGCAACGTGGTTTCAAGGTTCCGGAGTAAGAAAATCCAGGTTTTGTGTTGGAGGTTGGGTTTAGTGTGTTCTCGCGCAAATTTGAGCAGAGTCGACAGCAGCTCCAGGAATGTAACCCGGAAGCATACAATTACCTTTTCTAAATTCCTTTGGAAAAGTGGACCCTATACAGAGATAACAAACGTCGTTGGGGCACTCTGACAACCAATATGTCAGAGAGTTACAACAACGTCCTCAAAGGTGTTAGGTTCCTGCCCTGCAGAGCGTTGGTACAGGCCACAATAAACAAGACTCTGGATTTTTTAGGAACAAAAAAAGTCCAGAAGTTGCAGGAGTCTCATTCCTACCGACCTCTATGCCGCCTATATGGTGTTGGAGAAGACAACGGCGACTCACGAGGTGCGATGTGCGGACACCGACGGATGCCAGTACAAGGTGACAACCGGTTTACGCGCCAGTGGAAGAGGACAAAACAAGTATGTATTTTTTATTATTTTTTTCCATTGAAATGAGTTTTTTTTTTTTCTTATTTATATATATAAATCATTGTAGAAAACAGGTTTACGGTTGATTATCAGCAGCAGCGTTGTACATGTCGGAAGTGGCAGACACATCGGAAGCCATGCACTCATGCATTAGCCGTGTGTCGTTACCGGGGTGATCAACCGAACTTGTTAAACGATTCTCACTTTTGGACGGAGAACTGGGTTGCTCAATTTTCTAATTGGAATTTTGCTCCAATTGGAAATCTTGACACGTGGCCGCACGTGGAATGGAATTTGATTCCGCATTGGAAAAGGATCACCTCGAAGCCTGAACCCGGTCGCACCCAAACGAGACGCTTTAAAATGCAAATGGATCGTCGGGCGCGCCGCAGAAGGGGTCAGGATTAATGCAGTAGATGTGGTGATCCCGAACATTTCGCGGACCATTGCCCGTATTCGCATCCTCCCACCGATCGAACTAGACTCCGTGATGATTGGGAGAACTAGATTTTTTTTGTATGTATTTTGACGGAATCGGATTGTTGAGATGAATATTTTGTATTTGGATGATTTATATAATGTGTGGATTGGTTGATTAATTTTCGTGTATGTTGATTATTTTTGTGTATGTTGATTAATTAAAAATAGAATAGTTAGTGTAAATTTGATTTAGTTCGTTGTTTTGAAAATGGAATCGGGACGAATAATGGCAAAAACAGGTGGATTCGAGTCGTGTGAACATGATTTTTTCCCAGTTTAAAAACGTATTTCTAGAATACGTTTTATAAATAATTAAGACAAAAACGTATTCTCATAATAAGTTTTACTTTTAATTATAAGTAAACTGTATTCTGGGAATACATTTTACAAAAAAAAAAAAAAAATTGTAAGAAGGACCCCAAAATCGAAACTCGAACCCGGGTGGGTGAGTCCGTTTTCTCTAGGCACACCTCCTTACCATTAGGTCGCTAGGCTATCGCATTTATTTTTGCACAAATTTTATTGTTATAGAAGTATATTAAAAACTATATACTATAATATATACTATATAATACCATAAAGGAGGCAGCTAGCTCAGGTCGGAATGTAGACTTGTAATGTGCTCTATTCAGCAATATAGGATGCCCCCACATAACTTCCTTCAGTATTTCCCATACAATCAGTTCTTTTTCCCGAATTTGACTCTTATAATGACCCAACACAACAAGAGCTAACGAGTTACTAGGCGGAGGGAGAAGTGAAAGCTCAGAAGTATACCATATAGTACATAATATAATGTATATATATATATTATATAATACTACCTCCTATTCATTTTAAATGTCATTTATTAACAAAATAAATGTCGTTTAAAATATTTTGTATATATTTTTCCATTATTACTCTCATCTATCTAATAAATACACTACGTCTTTCCATATTCACTCTTCATCTTTTCTTAAAACATTCATCTCTATTCTCATTAATGAGGGTTATTATTGACAAAAAAAATATTCTTAATAACTGTGCAACTTCTCAAAACGACACTTATTATGAATAGGAGGGAGTATATATTATATAGTATATAGTATAATCTCGGTCAATTATGGTGTAATCGAACTCGAATTAGTCTAATAGCAGTCAAATCAGTACAAGCTCGGTCAATTATAGTGTAATCGAACTTGAATTAGTCCAATTGAAGTCAAATTGGACTAATTTGAGTTCAATTGGACTAATTCGAGTTCAATTGGACTAATTTGAGTTCAATTGGACTAATTCGACCGAGATTGTACTAATTTCAGTTCAATTGGACTAATTCGAGTTCGATCACACTATAATCGACCGAGATTGTACTAATTTCAGTTAAATTAGTCTAATTCGAGTTCAATTAGACTAATTCGACCAAGATTGTACTAATTGGACTTCAATTGGACTAATTCGAGTTCGATCACACTATAATCGACCGATATTTGTACTAATTTGAGTTCAATTGGACCAATTCGAGTTCAATTGGACTAATTTGACCGAGATTGTACTAATTTGACTTCAATTGGACTAATTTGAGTTCAATTGGACTAGCTCGACCGAGATTGTACTAATTTGACTTCGATTGGACTAATTTGACTTCAATTGGACGAATTCGAGTTTGATCACACTATAATCGATCGAGATTGTAATAATTTGAGTTCAATTGGACTAATTCGAGTTCAAACGGACTAATTCGATCGAGATTGTACTAATTTCAGTTCAATTGGACTAATTCGAGTTTGATCACACTATAATTGAGCGAGATTGTATTTATTTCAGTTCAATTGGACTAATTCGATTGAGATTATACTAATTTCAGTTCAATTGGACTAATTCGAGTTCGATCACACTATAATTGAGCGAGATTGTATAAATCTTAGTTCAATTGGACTAATTCGACCGAGATTGTACTGATTTGACTTCAATTGGACTAATTCGATAAGATCACACTATAATCGACCGAGAATGTACTAATTTGACTTCAATTGGACTAATTCGACTTCGATCACACTATAATCGACCGTGATTGTTTTAATTTGAGTTCAATTTGACTAATTCGAGTTCAATTGGACTAATTTGACTTCAATTGGACTAATTTGAGTTCAATTGGACTAATTCGGATTCGATCACACTATAATAGATCGGGATTGTACTAATTTGACTTAAATTGGACTAATTCGAGTTCAATTGGACTAATTTGACTTCAATTGGACTAATTCGAGTTCAGTTGGACTAATTCGAGTTCAGTTGGACTAATTCGAGTTTGATCACACTATAATCGACCGAGATTGTACTAATTTGACTTCAATTGGACTAATTCAAGTTCAATTGGACTATAATTGACCGAGCTTGTACTGATTTGACTTCTATTGGACTAATTCGAGTTTGATTACACAATAATTGATCGAGATTATACTATATACTATATACTATATATTATATTATATACTATATGGTATTATATAGTATATATTATATTATATTGTTTTTAATATACAATTCTATATGGATAAGAATAAAATTTGCGCAAAAATAAACGCGATAGCCTAACGGCCTAATAGTAAGGAGGTGTGCCCAGAGAAAACAGACTCACCCACCCGGGTTCGAGTCCCGAATCTGGGGTCCTTCTTACATATTTTTTTTTTTGTAAAACGTATTCCCAGAATACGTTTTACTTATAATTAAAGGTAAACGTATTCTGAGAATACGTTTTACAATTAATTAAGTCTAAAACGTATTCTCAGAATACGTTTTACATGTAAATATATAAAAAAAATTCTTCTTCTTCCCAATTACGCGAACAGAGAGCAGAGAAGAGAGATTTCGAGCAAGAGAGGGAGATTGAGCACAAGAGAGCAGAGAAAGAGATTTTGTGATTTTTGTTGGTCATTTTGCTCGAATTCATCACGAAATTAGGTACATTATTCTATTCTCTTCTATTATGCTAATTTTTTTTTGGTTTTTTTCAATAAATTGATAATGTGTTTTGGTGTTAGGGTTTTGAATTGGATTAGTGTTTTTGAATTGGGGTTGATGAATTTGATTACTGTTTTTGATAATGGGTTGTTTGATCATGTTTGTTTCATATATTGATAGATATTGGAAATTGATTAGGGCTTTGTAGTTTGTTTGAAAGACTATGTTTTAAAGGTGTTTGATATAACCACGGCTAGTACTGCCGGCTCGACCGGTAGTATCTGATATAGCATGTTGTACCCGACCAGCTTTTATGGGTATATATTGAAGAATACGCCTATACATGGGCTAATACGCTTGATATGATAATATGGGCCGAGCCCAACCTCTGCCAAGCCCAACTTGGACCATAAGGTACACTCCCCCTATAAAAAAGGGGGCTAAGGTACTCATTTATTCCATTCTCTCCTCATTCCACTACTACTCTCTCTCTCTCTCTCTCTCTACACTCTCTCTCTACTCTTTGCATTCACATATGAATCCAGTACTGACTTAAGCATCGGAGGCCCAAAGCCGAGCACCCCTCCCGGGGTCCCAGACTTTGGGTTCTTGCAGGTACGGTGGCCGTCCGAGTCGAGGGAGCCCGGGTGACATAATTGTCCCATCATTTTGGCGCCGTCTGTGGGAACCCGTTCGAGAAGCCAAACGGTGTCCCATCTGAAAATTCGAACAAAGCTCCTTCGACTCGAGCTGCCGCT